GCTATCAACCCCAAAAAGCATGCAAACTCACCTACAGAAAAAATAGCACCTTTGCTGGTCGAGCAAGTTCCAGAGGCCGGATCATACCTCCACATCCCACCCACTATCCTTCTGTGTTCCAAGCAAACAATGTGGGGTGAAGGCCCCAGGCAGCCAGAAAATCTAGTTTTAAAACAAGTAAGAATGGACCATGGGGGTAGGCTCTCCGGGCCTCTAAATGTGTTTATGGCTCCTTTCTGCAAAGGGAAAACTTGAGAAAGGCCTTTGTTGCCACAGAGAAAGCCATAGGGATGCTCGCCCGTCCCAGCTCTGCTCCATTGGCCATGATTGGCCGAGGCACCTGCATAGTTAGACGGGCAGACGTCCAGAAGGCCAGTCAGAGAAGTAAACATCAAGGGTTTGTTTTTATATAGATATTTTAAATGCTCACAAGCCCAGACCCGTCCTCGGCTGCTAACGTTAGCGGATTACTCATTCTTCCTTCCAATCACGTCATGTGCGAGGTTCCAGGTGGCTGTGGGGTATTTGCTTACAACGGCTACCGCTGGTTTCCCTGAGAGCTGTTTATTTTTCCAGGCCTCAGGTCATTACATCACCCGCGGTTTCTGGGCCGGCCAAGAGTGCTGGTTTGGGGGTGGGGGAATCAGCCAGGAGGTGCAGTTGCCTCAGTGACCCCAAGTCCCAATCATAGCAGCAGCTCTCTGGGCAGGAACTTCCAGGTGAGGAGGAACAACACAAAATGTGGCCAAAGGGCCCTCAGCAGGCCCAGAGGAGCAAGGCTCCAACGTGGGCAGGTAAGGGCAGGATGCTGTGGACGGCTGTCTGGTGAGAATGGGTGGGGAGGTAGGCACACTCACTCATGTATGAAGAGACAGGGGGCCATTTTCCAGGCAGAACATATAAGAAATGCATTTCCGCCTGCGTCCCCGCTGATGGCTGTCTCTGGGGACAGTTACCTGAGCTGCTGCCCAAGAGGCAAGGAAGGAAAGACATGGTCTTTTTAGATTTCACGCAGGCGGCCAGGTTCCAGGGCCTTCTTGAAGTCCCAGATCAGATTATGAAAGAAGTTAATGAGAAACTGTGGAGATAAAGGAAAGAAAGAGATGGAAAAGAAGAAAGGGCAGGTTAGTGACCTCACCAGAGGCTACAGAGTCAGCCACTGGGACCAGGGACTGAGGGAAGGTGCCCATGTGCTGCACAAAGAGAAGGGTTAAGGCTCAAAGACCATAGTTCCTGAGAGAAAGCATTTTTTCAGAGAAGAAAGCATAGACTTTCCCCATACCAAGAAAATAAAAAGGAAAGAAAAGACTTGTATAAATCACAGTTGTAGCCAAATGTCCACAAACAGTAAAATTAGAAGCAGTGGGGTATGGGATGAAGAATGAGATGAAGCCTAGTTTTTGTCATTTCTTTAATCTCTCTACGCTCTTCTATAAAATGTAGATGACTTTTAAAAATTGTTTTAATTCTAGTTATATTAAGAAATTCCTTGGTAGCTAGCTCCCAAAACAAAAAACCCAGCAAGAGTTCATATTTTCTTATAAAAGTAGAACAAAGTTTCTGGCCAAGACTCATGCAAGAGAGACGATGCCCACTCTCGAGTTTTGGGTGTCAGCCGGCCAGGTGCGTGGTCTTGCTAAATGCAAGCACCCCTGGTGTGAGAATCAGAGAGAAGTCCAACAAGGCAAACCTGTCAACGCTGGACCTGCCAAGTTCTCAAAAGGCGACACTGACCATGGTGAATACACGACAAAGCCTTAAAAACAAGGACCAACACCTCCAGCAGGAGTGAAGGAGACAGGCTAAGTCTGCAGGCATATGTGTCATGTTATTGCAAAACTGCGGCTGCCCAGTGGAACCTCTCCAACATCAACAGTCCCCAGGCCAGAAAACAAACCTGGCGTCACAGGGTCTGAGTGTGAAAGACGGACGTTTGGGGTGTAAAAGAAACTGGGATGGCCTCTTTGCCTGTGAGGCAGAGAGCTGAGAAGAGCGCTCGCTCAGTCGATTCTGAGTCCCATTCCAACCTCCCCAGAGTTGTGGGCCAAAGTGCCCTGGAAGCCAGAATCTTTCAGCAAACTCTACTGGGAAACTGTCTCGGGGGCTTGACCCAGAGGTTCCAGTCCATAGCAGAGCCAGCTGCCTGGACACGAGGTGCCACTAAGGTGTATCTGACTCCTCATCAAACCAAGTGAGAGAATCTGAAAAGTGGCAAGCATAGCCCGGCCAGTGTGGCTCTGTGGTTGAACATCAATCTATAAACCAAAAGGTCCTGGTTTGATTCCCGATCAGGATACATACCCAGATTGTGGTCTTGATGCCCAGTAGGGGCAGTGCAGAAGGCAGTCGATCAATGATTCTCTCTCATCATTGATGTGTGTGTTTTTTAAAAATATGTTTTTATTAATTTCAGAGAGGAAGGGAGAAGGAGAGAGAGAGAAACATCAATGATGAGAGAGAATCATTAATTGGCTGCCTCCTGCACACCCCACATTGGGGATCGAGCCTACAACCCGGGCATTTGCCCTGACCAGAAATCAAACCATGACTTCCTAGTTCATAGGGTCAATGCGCAACCACTGAGCCATGCAAGCTGGGCTCATCATTGATGTTTTTATCTCTCCCTCTCCCTTCCTTTCTGAAATTAATTAAAAAATATTTTTAAAAGTGGCTAGCACAATACATAAAGATATTCCATCAATAGTAGCTACTGCTTTTATCTCTCCCCCAACATCCTACCCTGTACCCTAACCTTACAGACATAACCTCACAGATAAAACTGGGGCCAACCAGGGAAAAATCAAAGTGGTTGCATCACCCTAACAAAAGGAAGGTGACTGTAGCTGCCTGGCAATCATTTCTCCATACCCATGGCCCATACTCATCCAACTGGAAACCATATACAAGTAGGAATGGAAAGCAGAACTTATGGAAGCAGACAGCATCCGCTGACTTGGCATTGCCACTTGACTGCATGCAGAGAATACAACTCAAGAAGACAGGCACTCTGCTCCCAGGGCATGTGCTTTCCTCCAGCCCCACCACTTGCTAGCTGTGACTCAGGACAAGTTACTGTCTCTCTACCTCTGACCCTTCTCCATGTAAGATGGGGACAATAACAGCACTTATCTCATAGAGTAAAGCTCAAATGGGATAACATATGTGACATCCTACAGGACCAGACACGGATGAGCTCCGATGACAGCGATGACTCCGGTTTTACTGAGGATGATGATCTTGCCTCCTCCATCCTTCCCCAAAGCAATCAAACACCTTGAGCTAGCTTCTTTAATAGACATATTAGATAGCCAATAAAGCCCTGGTCCTCACAGAGTTTATAATCTAGGTAGAAAGATTAATCACTTGCAGATGAAAATGAAACAATTCATGGGAGCCGTTGCTAAATGTCAAATGAGTGTTCCAGGCAAAAGGTGCTGAATA